CTTGTTGAAGGTTTTCTTACACACCAAAGATATACAATTACTTTCTAGTCTTCTATAAATCATGAGGAAAAATGCATGAGAAAATATAATAATGTCAGGAAATAATATACAATAAAATAATAATAAAATAAACTGACTGGCAGTGCATTGTCATCCAAAATAAACTGTATCTTGAAGCACTGAAGCCCAAAAGCTCCTGTAAAAAGAAAGACAGCTTAACCATCAATCCCCAAATAAACACTCAGTTGAGCCCAAGAAACCTCTTCAAACACGGACACACAGAGGGTGAGGCGTTTACTGAACTCTGGAAAACTATTGTTCATCAGTCATTAGGATCAGAGTCAAGCCTGACTGTATTGAAGAGCTGCTTTCTCTATTCAGCTGCACTTTCCAGAGTCTGAAAACGCCTCTAACATGTATTTCCAGTGTAAAAGGTAATGCCCGCTGCTCAAAGGTTTCTGTGCCCTCAGAGACTGAAGGGTAAAGGCACTCAAATAACTGGGAGACCAATATAATTTTGATTTGCCAATCAAAAGTGTCAGGCAGTAAAATGTCACTGACTGCTGGTGATAAAACACTTCTTGCTTTATTTAATTACCTGGCTGCGTTTAGAAGAGCATACTAATATACTACTCTAATTAATTCTGCTGTATAATATATGTATAATTTGGACTGTATGCAAATGTTCTGCATAGGAAAAAACTTGTGTATGATATTTACCAGAATAATATGATGATTATTCAGACTCTGACTGGATTCACAGTGTATCTAACTTTCTATTTAATTATTCATTTATATATTTTACTTGTTATTTTTTCCTTTTCAAATTAATCTGAATTTATATTTATTATGCAGTGCATACACACACAGACAGAAATACAAAGCTATATTAACCCTTGTGTGTCCTTATGGGTATTTCAATAATTCCTCTCATGACCTTCATATTAGAAATTCATTCATTCATTTTCCTTCAGCTTAGTCCTTATTCATCAGGGGTCACCACAGCGGAATGAACCACCAACTATTCCAGCATATCTTTTAGCGAATGCTCTTCCAGCTGCAACCCGGTACTGAGAAACACCTATACACTCTCGTATTCACACACACGCACACACACACGCACACACACACACGCGCACACACACACACACACACACACACACACACACACACACACACACACACGCGCACACGCACGCACACACGCACACACGCACACACACACACACACACACACACACACACACACACACACACACACACGCACGCACACGCACACGCACGCACGCACACTACGGCTAATTTAGCTTATTCAATTCTTCTATAGCGCATGTCTTTGGACTTTGGGGAAAACTGGAAAACGCGGAGGAAACCCACACCAACGCGGGGAGAACATGCAAACTGCACACAGAAATTCTGACTGGCCCAGCCAGGACTCGAACCAGCAACCTTCTTGCTGTGAGGCGACAGTGCTGACCACTGAGCCACCGTGCCACCCACATCAGAAATACCCCCTTTAAAAGTCATTCAAACTGCAATATTCCATGCCAATGCTACTCAAACATTTTGCTAACAGGCTTCCTTTTTGCTGGCCAAAATATTAAAATATTTATTATTATATTCGACTTGGCTGTGAAGCTAACGTAATCATCATTTATTGATTTGCGGTTGGAAGGGCATCCGCTGCGTAAAACATATGCCGGAACAGTTGGCGGTTCATTCCACTGTTGCAACCTGTGAAATAGTGACTAAGCCAAAGGTAAAATGAATCAATGAATCAATCAGCGAATGTAAAAAGTTTCTTTGTGATGATAATGATTTTATCAAATTAAGCCAGTTCTGAAAGTGCTTTAGCCAATTTAGAATCAACAGATTTCAATAAAAAATATTGAACATGTACGTAACAGGAATTATGAAGGTATTCCAGAAAATAAGATACGACTTTAAGTTTGCTGTTTCTTTAATACTGTTGCTCTCTAAATCTTCCAGCGTAAAAGCTCTGAAATGAATGAGCCTATTTTAAATGTGTCAAACGCAGCAAATGATGCTCATGAAAGCAAACATCCTGCGCATTTTATTGTTCAAACCCCAACCCTGACTAGTGTTCCCTGTGGACCTTTGATATTCACAAGCTGTAACATTTATACTGCTCTTCACTGGATAAACAGCCCAAGTAAATATTTATGCCTCATAACTCAGCTTTTATACACTTGTCTACAAATCAAACACTTCCTATCTGCTAAAAATACACGCTGCTAATATACATGCTACTGTGCAGCTGAAAACCAGTCTGACAAAATATTGTCAACATCTGAAAATTATTTTTAGCAATCAGGATAATGAATATGAAAGAATGAATAGGATAATTTGAACACATTATAAAACATTTTTTGTTTACCTTTTTATCATTTCATAGATTTATTTCATTTTAAAGTACTTTGTTTGTTTTGTCCTGTATTTGTCATTTTTTTATATTAAACTATTTAATTTTATTATTAAATGGAGATTAGGTGAAATGATGTAAACTTTTCATGTTTTGTATTTTTTGTTGGATTTATCCTAATCTAGGTTTAAAGATTTGTTGTATACAAATCATAACAATATTATATAATAAATGTATTGTGGGGCATCCCAGTGCCGCTGTGGGTAGCACAACCTCCTCACAACAAGAATGTAAGCTGTGTCAGTTGGCATTTCTGAGTGGAGTTTGCATGCTCTCCCTGTGTTTGCGTGGGTTTCCTCCAGGTGCCTCGATTTCCACCACAGTACAAAGACATGCGCTATAGGTGAATTGGGTAAGCTAAATTGTCCGTAGTGTATGTGTGTGAATAAGTGTGTATGGATGCTTCCCAGTGATGGGTTGCAGCTGGAAGGGCATACGCTGCGTAAAACATATGCTGGATAAGTTATCGGTTCATTACGCTGTGGCAACCCCAAATTAATAAAGGAACTAAGCCAAAAAGAAAATGAATGAATGAATAAATGTATTGATTTTTATATATCAACACAGTTCTAACATTTTTGCCTCTATACACCAACACGATGGATTCGAAATGATACTAGATGTGCTTTAACTGCAGAGTGTCAGCTTTAATTTGAGGGTATTTACATCCAAATCAGGTAAACGCTGTAGGAATTACAACAGTTTGAATATGTGCCTCCCACTTGTTAAGGGACCAAAATTTATTGGACAATTGGCTTCTAAGTTGTTCCATGGCCACAAGTCTGTGTTATTCCCTCATTATCCCAATTACAATATAAAAGGATATAGATAAAAGGTACAGAGTTCATGCATATGAATATATTCGGGGTTGCACAGACTAATTGTGATGCTTTTTGACTTATGTCGACTAGTTGTGCTGAGCAAATCACGTAGTTTGATCTTTGCAGCTTTACACACTAAGGTGGTTCACGGAATAAAGCTGCCCTTGGATTATTTAAAGTAATTTTTTAAATGTTTTTTTTTTTCTCATGTCAGAGTCAAAGATTCACATGAACTTTGAGAAAACTTTAAATCATTAAAGAGATGGCAGTTAGTTTGCTCCATGCAAATAGCCTAAAGCAGATGCTAGCCAATCACGTTTATCCAACCCTGGAAAAGTAATGTGATTGGCTGTTGTCCTCTGCAAAGCATAAACGATGTGACATATTTTGTGAATGAACCGTGAAGCGTGCAGAAACCGTGAAGTGCACAGCTGCAGAGGTGTGACAAACTTCATAGCATGCGGTGAAGATGTGCATCGAGGAGATTTCTGATACCCAAGATGCGCTATTCATTCATTCATTTTCTTTTCGGCTTAGTCCCTTTATTAATCCGGGGTTGCCACAGCGGAATGAACCGCCAACTTATCCAGCAAATGTTTCACACAGCGGATGCCCTTCCAGCCACAACCCATTCCTTGGAAATATACATACACACCCATTTACACTTATACACTACGGACAATTTAGCCTACCCAATTCACCTGTCCCGCATGTCTGTGGACTGTAGGGGAAACCAGAGCACCCGGACCAAGATGAGCCAGTAAATGTGAAAAATGCTCAATTTGACATGTAGTGATCAAGTACGTGCAGTGATCAATGTCTTGAGTGCATTTACTCAGCAGTAAAATTAGCCCGGGTGCTAATGTTGCATAATTAATTAAATAAAAGTGTTGATAATTTATTTGTGTGCATTAAAATAAGTCATTAATAATGTTGAGCATGAGCATTTTAAAACAAGACCAAAACCATCAAATAATTGCCCCACAAATCATTGCTGTTTCTGAGCTAGTGGAGCAAAAATGCCACATTTATCGGCAGCAAACAAATTGCAGAAATTTCTAGCCTTGGGATAAACTAGTGATGAGCGATCAAGGTGAAGAAGCCAGTGATTCCAACTGACCTGGACCCGTTATTCACACACAACCGGGGAAGTGCTGACTCTAAAATGCCCAGCAAAATGTGTGGATGGCAGTGTCAAAAACTGCTTACAGATGGCAAAGAATTAGCTTCGAGTTACGCGAGCATGTTGTTGCTGACTTGAGCTTTTCTGCAGCCAGGAGAGCAGATCCACAAGACTGACTAGTTTGAAGCTTGACTGACAGCAGGTGAGAAAAGGTGACGTCCGACTGATCGGAGTCTGTTCTGGAGCTGCAGCCATGAAGGAGATCAGTGAAAAGCGGTCAGGAGTTCATGAAAACCTCTCGTAAACAGCTTCTGCTACTCGGAGGAATTTCAGGCGAAACAAAGCCAACGTGTCTGTCTGAATAATTCATGTGTGTCAGTGAAGTCATGTGAGGGGGAATACACAGATAAAGTCAAAATTATTAGCCCTCCTGTGAATTTGTGTTTTGTTTTTTAAATAATTTCCAATTCCCAAAGTTTGAAAGAGCAAGGAATTTTCTCACAGTATTTCCTTAAACATATCTAGTAAAATATTGTGTACTGTCATCATGGCGAGGATAAAAGAAATCAGTTATTAGAAATGAGTTATTTAATTGTTTGTGCGTGCTACTCACCTCGTCTTTGTCTTCCACCTGTATGTACAGAGGCAGAGCGAAGCCGACCTGTGCCAGCTCGGTGATGAGGACACGATACTCTGAGCTATTGAATCTGGGTGGATTGTCGTTTTTATCGATCAGCAGGATGGTGAAGGTGGTGGTGACGGTGGCAGAAGAGGGTGTGCGGTCATCATTCAGCTCTGTAGCCTGCAGAAAGACAGAAACACACTGCCTTAAACTGATGCTGATGTCACAACATGAAAACTGGGAGCAACCAAAGATTTTTTTTTTTTTTGTTTGTTTGTTTTTTAAACAAGGAAAAGTTACAATGAGAGAATCTCATTAATGAGAGAATGAACTATCTAAGGTTTTTTAAGGATTTTTAACATTAATCATGAGACTCTTAAATTAGGTCCTCTCTTTGGGGAATTACGCTGGAGAACATGACTGATTAGGGCTTGTTAATTTAACTCTTGTGTACTGTTCAAATTGACTACGCTTTCATTATGTTGGTGGCTGTTTTTGCCCCTTCGACTTCCTTTATAACTACATTTTTTTAAATGCAAACATATGATTGTTGGTTTTTTTTTTCTGATGTGAGGACGTCTAACATTTACTGTTGTTTATAAATCATAAAATTTTGTCCAAAATCTACAGTATGCGTGATAGATTGAGCACTGAGCAGACCAAAAACAGTCAAAAAGTGTCAAAGATGTATTTTAACAGGTAAATCCTTGTGACTGCATTTGATTGTCTGTTGCCAAAAGGGAAAATAACATAATGTCATTGAAAAATATTTAAACAATAACAATATGATTAAAAAAACATAAATGGGAGGTACAGTAAGCAAATAGGAGATACAGTAAGCAAAAGCAAAAAAATCCCTGATATTCCATAACAAGGACAAAACAAATATAAAATACAATGTGTTTGATTATCTGGCATAGACCTTTTTAAATTCCATGATATTCCAGAAAAATCTATAAGCATAGGAACTTTTACATCTTTGTTGTGACAGCTTTGTCTTCTGTTATTTTTTTGTGACTGAAGCCCCCTTTTGTTGGTCAGGCAGGTGTACATACTGTTTGTAAAACACATTTTAATAATCTTTAATAAACTTACATTTTATATAATATATTTAGCTTTCTTATAAAAATAATGTTGCCGAAAACCATAGCAGGCATAAAATGCCAAAAATGTTAGAAAAAAAAACCTCTCAAATCGCTCTAGAAAAGCTATCACTTTGTTTAAATTCAGCGTATTTAAGTAGTTTGCCACCACTTACCTAAACCAATTTTAGCAAGTCCAATGAATATTTTTTTTAGTGTACATGGTACAGTCAAATGGGAGGAAAGTAAAAACAAATAAAAATATATAAATTCTCTGACTTGAAAATCTGGAATTTAAAAAATCCATGATATTCCTGTAAATTCCATGACCTTGAACTTAACATTTACAGCTGTGTTGCACAGCTTTGTCTTCTGCTTTTTTTTGTGACTGTCTCTTTTTTTGTCAGCCAGATGTACGTACTATTTGTAAAACACACTTTAATAAACTTTGTTATATATATACATACTGCACCCAACCCAGTCTGAGCTGGGATTGAACTGGTGATTCTTTGCATGGGAGCCGGTTGCTCTAACATGGATGTCTGTAGCTAGAGCACCTTTAGAGGGCAGAGGAGTGAGGTTTACCTGCATAGCACTTCACTAGCTGACCTCTGTTACACTCAACCCCTTAAAACTCACTCACATTCCGGACGAGCCCCCATGTGTACCCGGTCTGAGCTGGCATCGAACCGGTGATTCTTTGCATGTGAGTTGGTTGCTCTAACAAGGACACTTAAGACAATGTCCTCTAGCGTCAGTCACTAGAGCAGGGGTCACCAACCCTGTTCCTGGAGAGCTACCTTCCTGCAGAATTCAGTCCCAACCCTGATCAAACACACCTGTTAACACCAATTAGTAATACCTAAAGCAGTACTTAATAATTACAAACAGGTGTGTTTAGTCAGGGTTGCAACTGAAATGTGCAGGAAGGTAGCTCTCCAGGAACAGGGTTGGTGACCCCTGCACTACAGCATCCCGGACAAGCCCCCACATGTAATCTACTGGTCGTACTGCACTCAACCTGGTCTGAGTTGGGATCAAACCAGTGATCCTTTGCATAGGATTCGGTTGCTCTAACAGGGAGGCTAAAGATCATGGCCTCTAGCATATGTCGCTAGAGCACCTTTAGAGGTCAGAGGAGTGAGGTTTACCTGCATGACACTTCGCTAGCTAGCCTCTGTTACATTCAGCCCCCCTAAACCTCACATCCCTTCCGGTATAAGACCCCACATGTTACCCAATGGTCCTACTGCACTCATCCCAGTCTGAGCTGGGATCGAACCGACAATTCTTTCCATGGGAGTCGGTTGCTCTAACAAGGAGGCTAAAACCATGGCCTCTGGCGTCTGTTGCTGCAGCACCTTTAGAGGTTTAGAGGAGTGAGGTTTACCTGCACAGCACTTCACTAGCTGGCCTCTGTTACAAATATATTAAGCTCTCTTTTTAAAAAATAACTTTCCCAAAAACCAAAGCAGGCATTCAATGTGATAAATGTAAAAAAAATAAAATAAAAAAACAATCAAATTGCTCTAGAAAACCAAAAGAAAGTCACTATAAGAGTGACAGAGAGGAGATATACGACACGAGAGAGGAAACGGATGTGATAATAGAGGGAATCTGGCAGTAAGCAGCATTAACGTTTAGTCTTCAATCTCCTCCATTTGTTCAGCTCGGGCTCTTTATTAAATCAGAGGGGAGGATTCTGGGAGAAAATCCCACAGGTCCACTGTAAGTGAGGGCACACCGGGGCCAGAGCGGAAAAAGACAGACGCAGCCAATGAGATTTAAGATGAACAAGTCTTATCGACAGGAAACAATTGCTCACAATCACTTTCTTTCTTCCCTCCTCTTTCTCTCGCCTCTGCTTTTTGAGGGATGGCGTTGGATTTAGGAAGAAATCCAAAGGAATAATGGTGTTTTGTGCAGAGGGGAGATGCGGAGTGAACTGAGGATGGAGGATCGGGTTAAACATGAATTGTGTCGTTTAACATCACCGCTCGCACATCTTTTCTCTGTCCCTCCATATAATAAATGCACTGACCTCCAAGCCCAGCGCACTCCAGCCTATCTGAGCTCTGTGAAGTTGAGAAATTAGTTTTATTACTTTTCACTCCGAATCAATAATGCCACCAATAACGGAGTGGGAGACAGAGAGAGAGAGAGAAGTTAAAATGGTAACGAGAAAAGTATATAAAGGGAGCTCGGGAGAGAGAAACAGATAATGAAAATCTATAACTTATGAATATTTTGGGAGGTTTTTCTTGCGCTCGTTTTGGTTCGGAGTTTCGCTTTTAGTGGCAAACCATTGATTTCAATTTAGAGAGCTACAGCTGTGCGGTTTATGGCTGTAAATAGAGCAGAAGAATCCAAAACGCATTTATGAAACTGTCCGGATGGGAATATATATAATATTGCAGGGGCAGAGAAAGACACAGGAATAATCACTGAACTGAACTGTGAGCAAAACTTCATTGCTGGCTTTGAAATTTGGCTGAAGCCTTTGGGAAAGTGCTGATTTAACATAATTATTAATATATTAATATTGCAGTATTGCATGAGTTTTACGCATTTATCTTTGTGCTGATGAGACCGAGCCGTTTTATTATTGAGCTATTTGTTTATGTATTCATATACAGTTGAAGTCAAAATGATCAGCCCTCCTGTGAAACTTCTTATTCAAATATTCAGAAGGAAAATTGCCGGAAAGAGGAATGGCGTGGGATGTCTACTGCGGCCAATCAGACGCTTTCACATCTGCACTGTTTATGAAAATAAACGCTTGTGAATCCTTCTCCAGAAACATTTAGCTGCTGCTTTTTAATCAGATCATGTTTCTATGTTGATTTTTAGTGCAAACTGTGGAAGAAATGATCAATAAAGTGCTTATGATAAACCACCATGCGTTTACCTGCACACTCTGTGTTCAGCTCCGTGATGCACAGGCATGTGAAGGAGCGCTCCGGTCAATCAGATTTGAGTAACCCACAACACTTCTTTCGTTTTAAGAAGTATCTCACAAGCTGCAGCACACACTAAAATGTACATCTTGAAAGTGTTCCTTCATATCATCAGCATTTGTATTGTAGTCACATGCGTAAACAAAGCTGTTTTTAGCTGCGGTTAGCGCCTCTGCCTTTGGATGGTAACGTTTTCGGTCAGTCTCTGGGACAAGTTTAAAACAAAAGTGAAACCATCAACTCCCTTTATGTTTACAAATACAATCTGGGCTAATTAGAGGTCATTTCTGGTTAATGATGTAAGAATTTAACTGCATTTTGGAATGGATGTGTGAATGAATGGCGCATATTTGAATATACCAGTAAAGTCGTTCCGGAAATTTCTGTATAATTACCATTATCACTGTGTGAAAGGAGCAAATGACTTACCTAATTAGTCTAATTTGCCTAATAAACCTAGTTAAACCTTTAAATTGAATTTCACTTTAAGCTGAACACTTGTATCTTGAAAAATATCTAGCAAAATATTATGTACTGTCATCATGGCAAAGATAAAAGAAATCAGTTACTAGAAATCAATTAAAATTATTATGTTTGAAATGTCGAAAAATATATATTTCTTCTAAACAAAAATTGGGGGAAAAATAAACAAGGAGCTAATAATTCAGGAGGGCTAATAATTCTGACTTTAACTATATACTATTGTGTGATTGTGCTAAAAGAAAGCACTGCAGACTTTAAGGTTTGTGCAAATCTAGAGACACCAGCAGCAGCTCAATGGGGTCTTATCAGAGCAGAGGCGATAATGATGGCTATCATGACGAGTGTGTCAAATCCAGAGGAATAATGACAGAAATCTGCAGAGGCTCAAATCTCCACCAATCTTTTGGAAACAAAATCCCACACACAGCACTTTCAGGTCATTTTCAGCTCAGTTTGAATAAAGCTCTAACCTAACATAAATATAAATATATATATAGCACCATATATACACATTAGAGAATTCTCTGGATTTACGGTTTGGAGTAAAATTGTTTTATTCTATTTTTTTTTCTATAAACAGAGTTCCCACTTTTTCATGAACACCAAATTCAAGGACTTTCAAAGACTTTTTAAATCACAAATAATTTCATATTGAGCA